GTAGCGTCTTTGGAGAGAGAAAGTAGCGTCTTTGGAGAGAGAAAGTACTATATTTAAAGAGATACAGTAGCATCTTTGAAGAAATAAAGTAGTATCTTCAAAGATGCTACTTTATCTCTTTAAAGAGAGAAAGTAATATCTCTAAAGAGATAAAGTCATATCTTTAAAGGGATAAAGTGGTGGCTTTGGGGGGAGGGGGGCAGGTTTGGGGGGTGTCACTGGAGCCCCAGCCTGACCCCCTGACCCTTCCAGATCCACTCCCTGTACCGCCGGACGGGCGCCAGCTTCCAGAAGGCCCAGGAGGAGTTCGCGGCCGGGGTGTTCTCCAACCAGGCCGTGCGCACGGCCGCAGCCAACGCCGCCGCCGGCGCCGCCACCAGCGCCTTCCGCGCGCCGTAGAGCCGGGCGGGCGCCGGCCCTGCCTCCCCGGCGCGCGCGGGGGCTCTTCCCGGGGAAGAGGAGAATCCGAGTTGCACTTTCGGTGGATCCCCCGCACGCGCGCGCGCCCGCATCGGCTGTTCAGAGGCTGCCTCATCCCAGCTTGGAAGTGCTGGTGCCTGAATCGTCTGCTGCTCGAACCCCCTTTTCCCTCACGGACAGAGGCTGTTTCTGGTTTGCGCTGGTCCCCCTCTCCCTCAGCGGGGTGGGTGGTGCCGAGGTTGAGCCCTGCCTGGCTCTGCCATCGCCCTCCCTTCCAGCACGAGCCTCCTCCAGATGTGTGACAGGGACTGGAACTGTCGCTCGCCTTCCCTGGGCTCTCCTGTGTCCCTGCCTGGTGATGACACCTGTGGGGCTTGGAGGGCCCCTCGTTGTGCCCAGTCCTGAGGCTCTTCCCTTTGCCTGCCTTTCCCTGTGATACGGGACCCCCGTGCTCTACCAAGAACATCATCCCCCTCTTCCCCCCAGGGCTTGCTCCGGTGGGATGGGGCCGGTGCAGTCCCCAGGGTGTCCTGTCCCTTTTGTCCTGTCCCTTTCCCCGTCCTTTCCCTCTCTCCAGGCTGAGGAGAGCAGGGCTGGGACAGGCAGTGCTCGGGCACATGCTGCTGGTGAGGCTTCTACCTTTAGTCCACGTGCCCCCTGTGGACCCCAAAACCAGGCTGGGTGCTGAGGAGCGGCCCTGGTGTTACTGTGGCTCCAGGGAAGGGTGAACAGCTCCTCCCACCCCCCTCCTCACCCACCCCAGGGACTGTGACCCCTCGTTCCCCCCAGCAGCCTTCACCCAAGGCCTTCACCCTCCTCGGGGGCTGAGCCAGTGCCTGTGTTCCCCTTACCTGCCCTCTGTCCCCGGGGGTCCCCGGGACAGGTCTCATGCATTCTGCTTCGCCCCATCTCCTCTCGGACGCTCCCGGTTTGTCCCTGCAGCTCCGGGGCTGGCGAGAGGCTTCGTGCCTTCAGCTCTGGGGGCCGGTGCCCGCGGCTCGGCCCCGTCCTGCTGTGGTGGGGGGTCCCGTGGGGGTCCCCGCCCCCCCCCGCTGCCCCCCGTGTGCTGCCCCCGACCGCCTCCGGGTTTATTTAAGGAATAAATGAAGTTTCACTCTGTGCCTCCGCCGCCTCCCTGCGCTGACCGGGGTGGGGGGGAGCGGCGGGGCCGGGGCCGGTGTCGCAGCTCCCGGCGGTGGCGGTGCGGGGTGGCGGGGACACGAACTACAGCTCCCGTCGTGCCGCGCAGGGGCGGCCCCGGGGGCGGGCGCGGTCGAGCAGCCGCCGGAGGGTGCGGGACCGTCCCCGCAGCTCCCGGCGCTTTGCCACCCGCTTCCAGCCGCGGCCACGGGCGCTCGCGGAGGGGGCGATGCTCGCCCGTAGCCTCCCGCCGGCCTGGCGACCCCGCCGGGGGCTGCGGGGCGCGGGACGGGCAGTCCGCCGGTAGCCGCCCGCCGGTAGCGGCAGCGGGACCTGGCCGTGCGCCCGCCGCCCGCGGAGGATGCTCCGGTGCGGACCGCGGCTCCCGCCTGCTGGCGCTGCCCCGGGGGCCGCGTCCCGGGCGGCGGCTCTCGGCCCCCGCGGGGCGGGATGATCCCCCGGCGGGGGCCCGGCGCTCCACCGACGGTCAGTGAGGAGGAGGAGGAGGAGGCGGCGGCCCCGGGGCCGCGCTCTGTCTCCGGCCGGCGGCTCTAGGCCGGCCCCGGTGAGGCCGGTTCTGTTCTCCGCGGAGCTTCTGGCGGCTCCGGCCGCGCGTGGCCGTGGGCGCTGCCCGAACCCCCCCCGCGGGGGCAGGGAAGAGCCGCCGTCAGCATCCTTCGGGAGGCGAAAGGTGGAGCCCGGCCCGTTCCCGCAGAGCGGCCGCTCCCGCTCCTCGCGGTCCTGGCGCGGTGCCGCCGGTTGCCCCGGGGCTCCGGGGCCGGCCCCGAGCCGCCGCCCGCCGCGGCCATGCCCTCCCCCACCAACTCCAGCCGCTCGCTGACCGGCCGCAGCTCCCGCAGCCTCACCCACCTCCGGCTCCAGCGCACCTGGCTGCAGGTCCTGCTGGTCCTGGGCCTCATCCAAGCCATCCTGGGCGTCCTCATCGTCACCTTCAGCCTGGTGGCGGCCACCATCACGCCCTCCACCAAGATCCGGCACTCCTGCCCGTCCTGGGCCGGCTTCTCGGTGAGTGCGGGCCCGGCGCGGTGCGGGGAGGGGGCCGCACGGCTCCCCGGGGGCCGAGCTTGCCGCCGGTCCCAGGGGATGACAGCCCCGCTGCTCCCCCACCCTCTGCCCGTGGCTGCCGCGGTGCATTGTGGGAGAATCCCAAGGTGTCCCCCAGGGTGACTCTGTGAGGGATGGGGACCCCCGAGCAGGGGCTGTCGGGGAACGCGTTGAGGTTTGCAAGGAGGGGCAGCACAGTGGTGACAGGGCAGGGGCCGGACAGCGAGGGGGGCTCTGCTCTACCTGCTGTGTACTGGGGGAAGGGCAGGACCCGGGGTCCCCCGCGGTGACCCTGCAGCTCGGATCGTGGCCCGGGTTCGCTGCTCGGTTCGGAGCTGCCCGCAGCCCCCAGGCCCTGAATCAGCAGTTTCTCCCAGCTGCCTTCTCCCACGGCTGCCCCTACGGCCCTGCTGCTCCTGGGCTGGCTACGGGCCCCCCAGGGATTGGGAGGGCTCTGCCCGTGGGCAGGGGCTGCTCGGGGCCCCATTGCCTGGCAGAGACCCCTCCCTACCCTCACCCCGGGGTTTGTGCGTCTGCAGCTGGCGCTGTCCGGGCTCGTGGGCATCGTCTCGTGGAAGCGGCCGTTCACCCTGGTGGTAGGTGTCGGGGCGGGGGGACACCCCCTCCGCATGTGGGGAAGCCCAGGATGGGGAGGCCGAGCAGACCCTCGTGCCCCTGCAGCCGTGTGTGTCGGCTCCCTGCTCCGCAGCCCTGCGTGGCCGGCAGCCCCTCTCCTCCCGCTGCAGATCGCCTTCTTCACGCTGCTGTCGGTGCTGGGCGTCATGCTGAGCCTGGCTGGCTCCATCCTGTCCTGCCAGAACGCGCAGCTGGTGAAGTCCCTGGAGGCCTGCGAGAGGGTGAGGCTGAGCGGGGGCAGCCCCAGAGCCCCCCGGGCCTCCGCGCTCAGCTCGTCCCTTGCTGCAGGGCTTGGGGACAGGGGGAGCTGCAGAGCCGGGGTCTGGCGGCGGGACGTGCCGATGGCTCTCGCGGGAGGTCCCTCATGGTGTTCCTTGTCGCCAGGAGAGGGACTCGTGTGTCTGCTGCCAGGCCCGCTCGGAGCCCCCGCCCGCCTCCTGCAGCCAACAGAGCGAGATGCTGACCATGTTCCCCAACCCCAACTGCCGGAGCATCCGCGTGGCGCTCAAGGTGGGGGTCCAGGGGGGGACAAGGGGAGCGGCTGTGCACCCCACCGTGCTCTGTGGCCTCTGCAGCTCACCCCACTGCTCCCCAGGACCTCCTCTTCAGTGTCTGTGGCTTGACCGTCTTCTCCACCGTCATCTGCACACTCTCTGCTGTCGTCTGCTGCATCCGGATCTTCTCCCTCGACATCGTCCATGTGGTGAGTCCTGGGAACAGACAGGCCTGGGGAGCAGTGCTCCCAGGCTGGGGGGAACCCGGAGTGCCAGGACAGGACTTGGCCCCGTTTGTGTGCAGATTAAAGCCCAGAATGTGCATCCCTTGCTGGATCTCTGGGCAGGGGAGTTCCAGCTCTCCCTTCTCCCTGCAGCTGGTCCCGCAGCGCTCGAGCTCTGTGACGCTGGAATGCACGTCCCCCCCTGACACTTTCCTGCAGAGCATGATGGACTTCGAGGAGTTCGTGCCCCCAGTGCCACCACCCCCCTACTACCCCCCCGAGTACACCTGCAGCTCCGAGACAGATGCACAGAGGTACCACCTGAGGGCGAGGCCGGCGGAACGGGAGCCTGTGTGCCCCCAGGCAGGGCTTGTCCCACCAGACGTGTCTTTGCTGCTCTTGCCTCTGCAGCATCACCTACAACGGCTCCATGGACAGCCCTGTGCCCCTCTACCCGACTGACTTCCCCCCGTCCTACGAGACCGTGATGGGGCTGCGGGGGGACAGCCAGGTGGGGGCCGGGGGGCTGCGGGCGGGGGAGGCCAGGCAGGGTGGGCTCCTGCTCGGCCGAGGCCTGAGCGTGTTGCCCCACAGGCCACCCTGTACGACTCGCAGCTGACAGAGGGCTCACACGCCTGCACCTGCGACCGTGTCCCCTCCATCGTGCTCAGCGGAGAAGGTGAGTGTTCCCCACGGGCACAGGGGGCCGTGGGGGGACCGGCCTTTCCCTGCAGCCCTTCACTGGCGACCCTCCGCTCCTCGCAGTGTCCATGGACAGCGGCTCCCTGATCATGTCCGAGATCATGGACATCCCCGGGGACAGCAGCCCCTCGGAGGACTCGTGCCTGCTGGAGCTGCAGGGCTCCATGCGCTCCGTCGACTACGTGCTGTTCCGCTCCATCCAGCGCAGCCGCGCCGATTACTGCCTGAGCGTGGACTGCGTGCAGTGCAGCCACCACGCCCGCAGCCCCACGCTGGGCCTGCAGGGCCCCTTCGAGGAGACCCCCCAGCCCCGCGCGCGGGGCGAGCGCTCCTACTCCTGCTCCACGGCGGAGCCCGGCCACGACGGCATCCTGGTGGGGGGAGCCGTCACCCACAGCTGCAACCGGCTGGCGGGGCTGGCGCGCTGCGCCGGGCCCTGCTTCCCCGAGGTGCGGCTCAAGGACAAGGGCTCGCTGCAGGGGCGGGGCGGCGGCCGCCCCACGGACCCCGGCGGCGCCGGGCGCCCGGGCCACCCCCGGCGCAACAGCGAGACCTCGTGCCCCTCGTCCCCGGCCCCGGGGCTGGCCCCGTGCCCGCTGCTGAGGTCGCACAGTGACCCCGGCGTCCCTCTGGCCGGCCATGCTGGTAGGTGGCAATGACCAAGGTGCGTGTGGCAGGGTCTGTTCGGGGCGGCCTCGGGATGTGCCGCGGGGTTTGGCTGCGTTTCTCCGCGGCCCCGCGGGATTGGAGCCGGGCTGAGGCGGGTGGGGAGGAATGGGGGCAGCGGGAGGGTGCTGGGGAAGGGGTCGTGCTGCTTGGGGTCCGCACAGCTGCCGAAGCCTGAGGGCTCTCTCTGCTCCCAGCAGATTTCAGGGAAGTACTTTATACCAAAGCACTGGAGGACACCGTGTCCGACTCCTCCGCCGATACAGGTCAGGGCACTGGGAGGTACTGGGATAGACATAGGGGTGGGGGGAGCGTTTCTGCAGCCCTTTGGGGATCAGGCTCGTCCTGCTGGGGCTGGAACAATGAAGACTTGTGGTGGGAATGCTCCCACTGGCTGGCAAGGGGAGACACCATGACCCTGGGGGCTGTGGGGACGGGTCTGCCATGAGCAGTGTCCCGGGGTCTGGGGACAGGGATGGGTCTGTCAGAGCAGTGTCCCGGGGTCTGAGGATGGAGACAGGTCCATCAGGGCAGTGTCCCGGGTCTGAGGACAGGGATGGGTCATTCAGGAGCAGTGTCCTGGCTCTGACAGCGGTGTCCCCACAGGGCTGTGCTCCGAGGCCTGCCTGCTCCGCCGTTCCCACTGTGACTCCCCGCTGCTGCTCCGGGCCGGCTCGGTGGGCAAGACCAAGCTGCCACCCTGCAAGAAGGTGACAGAGCAGCTGTCAAAGACCACGACCCGCTCCCTGGGGGACCTCAAGGGCTGCCGCGGCACCCGCGGGCTGGTGGCCAGGTTCCTGCAGAGACCCAAGCGCAGCCTGGCAGCCGGGGTGGAGGTGTCTGGGCACAGCTTCCACGGGCACAAACAGGTGGGTTCTGGCAGCCGCAGGTGACAGGGGTGACTCCTTCTTCCTAGAGAACCCCCATCCACACCCTCTCGCTCCCTCTGGTCCCCACCAGCACCTCCACCCTGGCCTCCCTTCCGTGGTGCCCCTTCCCCTGCCACGTACTCACGCTGTCAGCACTTCGGCTGCAGGCAGAGCCTCCTTCCCACGGCACTGCCCTTTCCCAGCCCTTCCTGGGGAGCAGCTCCTTCCCCTTGATCCCCACTGGAGTCAGGAGTGGGAAAATCTAGGAGTGGGAAAATCGTGCCTGTCGCAAGGGCTTTGTCTTTGCTCCTGAGTCACCGCACCCAGAGGCGCATTCTGACACCTCGGCTTACGGGAGGTTTGACACCTTGCACAGCCCGGGAGGCCCTGACGGGAACGAGCCTGTCCCAAATGCCACCTTGGGCGTGTGATGCCCGCCTCTGCCATCCCTGTCACCTCTGCCCTCCTGCCCCGTGTGCCGCCCGGCTGAATCGGAGCGTGGGGGCTGTGAGCTCAGGGGAGGGGGGCTGAGCACGAGAGGGTGCCACGGGCAGGGGTGTCAGTCCCATGGCTCCAGCCCATCCCCGTGGGTTTGCAGGTTCCCTGGAGCGCCTGGCCGGGCACGGAGCGGCCCCACGAAGGAATCCACCTGCAGAGCTGCGGGGACCTGAGCTCCACCTCGTCCCTGCGCCGGCTCCTGTCCGCGCGCCGGCTGGAGCGCAGCCGCCCCCGGAGCCTCAGCGGGGCCTGCAAGGAGAGCGCGCTCTGAGGGCGCAGCCCCCGTGGGGACCCCCTGCTCTGGAGAGGGGGGTCCCGCTCTGGGCCCGGCCCTGGACATTGCTCGGACGTTTCTTCTGCCCCAGTGGGGCTGGGCCCTGTGCCGTGGCCCCTGGGACTCTGCTGGGCCCTTTCCCCAGGCAGGGCCGGGGCGAGGGGCTGGTCCCCTGGGATGTCTGCTGGGAGGCTGAGACAGCGGTGACTGTGCCCTCCCTTGTCCCCAGTGCCTGTCTCTTGGGATGGCTATGCCTGTCCTCTGCCCTGTCCCCAGTGCCTGTCTCTTGGGATGGCTATGCCTGTTCCCTGCCCTGTCCCCTGTGCTGGCGCCATGCCTGTCCCTTGCCCCATCCCCTGTGCCAGCTGTGCCTGTTCCCCGGGATGGCCATGCCTGTCCCCTGCCCTGTCCCCCGTTCTGGCTGTGCCTGTCCCACACACCGGCCGTACCCCGTCCCCTGTGCCAGCCGTGCCTGTACCCTGGCATGGCCATGTCTGTCCCCTGTGCTGGCCATGCCTGTCTCCTGCCTTATCCCCTTGTGCCAGCCGTGCCTGTGCCCTGGGACAGCCATGCCTGTCCCTTGCCCTGTCCCCTGCACTGGCCGTGCCTGTCCCCTGCCCTGTCTCTTGTGCTGGCCATGCTGGCTTGTTCCCCAGTTCCCTGTGCCAGCCGTGCCTGTACCCCATGCCTGTCCCCTCACCTGTCCCTTGTGCTGGCCCGGTCCCCGGTCCCCTGTGCCAGCCGTGCCCGTAGCCTGGGACTGCCATGCCTGTCTCCTCTCCAGCCGCCCCGCCCCGTCCGGTGCCGGTCCCGGTGCCGTTCCCGGTGCCCCGCGCTGGCCGTGCCCGTTCCCCCCGTCCCCTCCCGGCTGCGCCCGGGCCGCGCTGCGGGGCCGGTCCCGCGGCCGCTGCCCCTCGCTAGAGACCGAATAAAAGGTGGTCGCCACCGCCCACGGGGCCGTGGGGCCGGTGTCACGGGGCGGGCGGGACGGGACGGGGCGGGGCGGGCGATCAGCTGACCGGTCACGGGGTGCCGGTTTCCCGTTTTCCCGATTTTCCCGGTGCCGTCGGGGCGGGGGGAGGCAGCGCGGGGCACGGGGAGCGGCACCGGGGCCAGGTCCGGGACCACCCGCGCGTCCCGGGGGGGCTGAGCGGCCCCGCTCCCCGGCGGTTCCCCCCCAGCTCCGCCGTCCCGGTACCGGCGCCGGGAAGGGCGGGGGGCCGGGCCCGCCCAGAGCCGGTGCCGCTCCTGCAGCGGCGCCCCGGGTGTGGGCGGGACGGGCGTCCCGGGCGTCCCGGGCGCCCTTAAAGGCGAGGCCGGGGGCGCGCCCGGTGCTGCGGGGCCGGCTCCGAGCGCAACGGGAGCGGCGGGGCCATGCGGGCCGCCGGTGCCCTGTGCTGGCGGCTGGTGATGGTGCTGCTGGCCGCGCACCGGGCCGCAGGTGAGCGGGGGGGACCGGGGGTGCCCGGCGGGTGGAGGAGACAGGGGTACCCGGGAGGGCTGGGGATGCCCGGTGGATAGGGGGTGGCCGGTGGACCGGAGCGGGAGGGGGAAGGAAAGGGAATACCCGCGGCTTTCCGGCGTCCGGGGATGCCCAGAAGTGTCTGGGGACACTGGGAGGTGCCGGGATGTGGAGCACGGGGGCAGCGGTGTCACCCTGGGGCAGGTGGGAGAGCTGGCAGAGACACATCCCCGAGGCTGCCCCCATCACCCTCCCGTGCTCCCCAGGCGCCCGGCCCTGCAGCCCCAAGTACTTTGGCCGCGATGCCATGGTCTGTGTCTGCAACACCACGTACTGTGACACGCTGGACCCCCTGGTCCTGCCACCCCCCGGCTCCTACGTCAAGTACGAGAGCAGCAAGGCCGGCAAGAGGCTGGAGAGAAGCGAGGGGAGGTTTCGGCGCAGACTCTGCGCCCCAGGTACCGCCGCAGGTGGCAGGGATGGGGTGGACCCCGCTGTGACCCACTGTCACACTGGGCTCCCCTCCCTGCAGACGTTGTCCTTACCCTGGACACGACACTGCGGTTCCAGAGGGTGAAGGGTTTTGGTGGCTCCGTCACCGACGCAGCCGCCATCAACATCCTCTCCCTGCCGGAAAAGGCGCAGGATCACCTGCTGCGCTCGTACTTCTCTGAGGAAGGTGAGAACACGCAGGGAGACAGGTAGGATGGTGGCAGGGACCCTGGGTGCCGGCAGGTTTTGGAGACCTCACGTCCCACTGCCACCCCCGTGCCTGGCAGGGCTGGAGTACAACCTCGTCCGGCTCCCCATGGCCAGCTGCGACTTCTCCCTCCACGCCTACACCTACGACGACGTTCCCTATGACTATGAGCTGAAGCACTTCAGCCTGCGGGATGAGGACACCAAGCTGAAGGCGAGCAGTGGGAGGGAGCAGGGTGGGATGGGATGGGGGACCGCAGGGGGCTCAGCTGAGCCAGTCCCTCCACCCCCTCCCGCAGATCCCTGTCCTGCACCGAGCCATGGCCATGAGCAAGCGGCCGCTGTCACTCTACGCCAGCCCCTGGACCTCCCCCACCTGGATGAAGACCAGCGAGTCCTACATAGGGAAGGGGACGCTGAAGGGGCAGGCGGGGGGCAAGTACCACAAGACCTGGGCCAACTACTTCGTACGGTGAGGAGCGCCCGGGGTGAGGGGACAGGGGTGATACCTCAGGGGTGATGCCACAGTGGTGGCACTGAGGACCCCTCATGGCTCACCCCTGCCCTCCACACCAGGTTCCTGGATGAATACGCCAAGCACAACCTGACCTTCTGGGCGGTGACAGCAGAGAATGAGCCCACGGCCGGGCTGATCAACAACTACCCCTTCCAGTGCCTGGGCTTCACGGCCGAGCAGCAGCGGGACTTCATCGCCCGCGACCTGGGCCCGGCACTGGCCAACAGCTCCCACCGCCACGTCCAGCTCATCATCCTGGACGACAACCGGCTCCACCTCCCGCACTGGGCCAGAGTGGTGAGCGTGGGCAGGGATGGGCTGGCACAGAGAGCTGGGGCAGAGCCCCCCATGCCTGCAGGGGCAAGGGTTGGGGCGCTGGCTCTGCCCCACAGGACCAACTCTTGTCCCTGCCAGGTGCTGGAGGATGAAGAGGCAGCTCGTTACGTCCACGGCATCGGCATCCACTGGTACCTGGACTTCATCGGTCCCATACAGGACACAGTGTTGCCCACTCATGAGCTCTTCCCTGACTACTTCATCCTGGCCACGGAGGCATCCATTGGAGCCCATTTCTGGGAGCGGGATGTGATCCTGGGCTGCTGGGACCGGGGCAACCAGTACAGCCACAGCATCCTGACGGTGAGGCCCCTGCATCACTGCATGTGATGGGCCCTGGGAAGGGCTGCCGGCGTGCTCCCTCTCCCCTCAGCACCCTGCTCCTTGGGCAGATGTCTGGGCTGTCCTGTTGCAGAACCTGAACCACTTTGTGACTGGCTGGACCGACTGGAACCTGGCTCTGGACCTGGAGGGGGGCCCCAACTGGGTCAAGAACTATGTGGACAGCCCCATCATCGTGGACAGCAGCGAAGGCATCTTCTACAAACAGCCCATGTTCTACCACATGGGGCACTTCAGGTGGGTTGGGGCCCCTGACATGCATCCACCTGCCTGGTCTTCAGCTCCATCATGGCAGCAGCTCATCAGGAGGAGAGTGGGGTGGGTTTGGTGGGAGAGGAGCTCTCCTGGGACCTGACTCCCTCCTTGAGGTTGCTTCTTGCTTCTGTCTGTGCAGCAAGTTCATTCCCGAGGGCTCCCAGCGCGTGGGGCTTGTTGCCTCCAAAGAGTCCAAGAAGACAGAGCTGGAGTACACGGCTTTCCTGCGCCCCGACGGCGCCGTGGTGGTGGTGGTCCTGAACCGGTGAGTGACACAGCCCAGCCCCTGCTGTGGGCCCTGCAACCAGTGGGTGCTGCACCTCTGACCCCCCCTGCTCTCCCCTCCGCAGCTCCCCCCAGGACATCTCCTTCGGGCTGGCCGACACCGTCGGCCTCATCTCCGCCGTGGCTCCGGCCAACTCCATCCAGACCTTCGTGTGGCAGTGGCAGTGACGGGGCCGGGACGCCCGTGGACGTGCCGGACGCAGCCGGGCTGGACGTGCGGCCCCAGCTGCCCGCGGGCTCGGGCTGGGGCGCGCGGGGGGAGCGATTCCTCGGAGCCGAGCGCCCGGAGTGAGCCGGGCTTTGAATGCCCTGTGTGTGGCAGGAGGGCCGGGGGCACCGGTGCCCCTCAGGGTGGAGACCCCACAGGCTGTGAGCGCTGTGTTCTGCTGTTCTGGCATTAAACGGTGAAGCTGCCTCGGTGTCTGCGGCTGGGAGAGAAATGTCCGGGTCCCTCCCCTGCTCCTGGGCACTGTGGCTGGGTGCCACCCAGGCATGGAGCCTGGAGGAGGACGGAGAGCAGCATGGAACACTTGGAACCCCACGGGGCAGCCCCTCTCCCTGCCCACCCCCCTGCTGCTTTGCCCCTCCACAGCTCCCCGTGGAGCTCACTGTGCCAGGGGGAGCTCCCAGTCTGCTCCCAGTTCCAAGCATGTGCTGCCTGGCAAGGGCTGGGCAGAGCCCAGGTGCTCTTCCGGTGCCTTTGGGGACAGGTTTTAGGACCTGGCAAGTGGCTCAGGATTCACCTGGCACACAGGTGCTCTGGGTCCTGGAGCAGGAACAGGAACAAAACACCTGGACACACCACTCCCCCCCATGGAAGGTCTGGGCAGGGGTTGCAGTCAAGGTTCAGCTTTCCATGCTTTTCCTGCCAAGCTGGAGCCACTCACAACCCAATGCCAGGCCAGGGGGTGTGTGAATCACATCTTTCCCAGCCCAGGGTGCTCCCCAGGGTCAGGGCTGGAGGCAGATCCAGTTCCAGAGGCATTGCAGCGTGGAGGGCTCAGGGTCCCAGCTGCCTCTGGCATTGCAAGCTGCTCCTGGGGCTTTGCCAGGACAGGGCTGCTGGCCAGGCTGCAGCAACCCTGCCTGGAGCATGAGCTGTGCCCCTGTGGGGACTGGGCAGAGGAGAGTGGGGGACCACCAAGGGGCTCAGCACCCACCACAGAGCTGGGGCAGCTTGAGCAAGTGGGCCCAGGGCCAGGAGTGGGTGCTGAGAGTGGGTCCACCCAGGAAGGAGGGAGGGAGCTGGCAGGGCGTGGGAGCAGGGGATTAGGGCAGGGAGGTCACAATTGCAGGGCGAGGAGGGCGGCCAGGCCCCCTCCGCGGGGGTGGGATGTGCCCGGGGGGGCTGTCAGGGCTGACAGCCCCGATGCTGCGTGGGCTGGGCACGGCCCAGGCGGGGTCTGTGCGTGACAGAGTCACCCTGGGACATCCTGCACCGCGGTGCCACAGCGACACTGCCCCAGGGTGGGAGCCCTGGGACCCTGCAACTCCAGGAGGAGTCCTGGGGAGAGCACCCTGCTCCTGCCCCGAGGCTGTTTGTGTTTGTCCACAAGAGGGAAATATTTCTCCAGGATCATAACTAGAGCGAGCCCCACTCCCAGTGTCCCGCTCCCAGCATCCCATTCCCAGCGTCCCACTCCCAGTGTCCCAATCCCAACATCCTGCTCCCAGCACCCTGCTCCTGGTGCAGGGCTGCTCCTTCACCTTCTTCTTACTAACCTGCCCTGGTCCTAACAGCTGGTGGCCAGATGCTGAATCACCCTGGTCCATGTGCCCTCGTCCCTGTGCTCTGCGCTGAAGGACAGAGCAGCTCTGGGATAAACGGAGCGGGGGCGAGTCCTCCGACCTCGCTGGGCTTGGCTCATTAATTCTTGTGCAAAGCCTTGCCTTGTTTGGGGCTCACAGTGGCTGGGGGCTGCTGGGGCCCCCCAGGAACTGGCCTGGCACCAGTGACCACCCTAAAGTCTGTGTCCCTCCGTGTTCCGGGCCGGGGTCCCGCTGTGGGGAACGAGCTGCGGGGAAGGAACTGCCGTGATGCCACACTGAGGCTCTC